GGGAAAGAGGCATTTCTCCAGATAAACAGTCATAAATAAAAGCCATCCTATTTTACTGGAGCAGCTACATAAGTAGGAGTGAACCTAAAGCAGTATATAACTGGGGTACTTAGTTTAGAAAAATTAGGTGTCATAATATTTTGTGAGACTTCTGGAAGGAAATTATTAAAATCAATATTATTGATTAAAATAAAATTAAATTGTCTATATTATTATTAAAATCAATTATTACCTTTTTGTTTAGGAAATCGATTCAGAGATATCTCAGGCTTGTTTAGAAATTTCCAGGTGACTACCACAGGTATCATATCAAGCTATATTGAAAAGTGTTTCTGCTTCCTTGAACTTCTTAGCAACTGTTTTATAATTTGACATTACATAAATTCTGTGTATTCCCTTTAAAGACACATGAACTCGCAATGATTTAAGTGAAAAGTCTGTATTTCACCTTAAGTGTTGCTTGCTAATATGAGTCTTTAAGCCCTTTCTTCAGACTTGGTTGAAGCTTAGGTACTGCATTGAGCTTGAACCTATATTCACAAAATCAGGTTTTCTCTTGTAAGCATAAGTTTTGGGATTATATGTGTGAACTTGGAATTGTTTTCCCTCATTAACATTTTTGCAGGGTGATGATGACAAAGACATGAATGAGAGTGATTTTCTGAATATCCATCAAATCTAAGTGAAGCCTTGTCTTACAGAGTTTTCATTCTGAGACTGTATGCTAATTAAACTTAGGTAGTCACACCAAATCACTTGGCAAACCACAGAATTATATATGTAAATTAATTATAAACTCAGGGATCTTTTTTCAATTTTGACTGCCTTTTCTCTCACTTCCCTTTAAAGCCGTCACTTTGCCTTATTTAACATTTTCTCTTCCCCTCCTAGCTCTTTCTCAGCTCCTGACTTTAGCAGTAATATTAGTATCTGAGCAAATATAAAGTTTAAGACAGCAAGAAGACAGACACCCTTGGCGGGTGGGGACTGTCTCATTGCTGCTAGAATGAGTATTTGGTATTATGATCTGAGCTCTGAATTAAACTATTTGTTCCCTTTCTTAATTAACAGAGTAAAATAATTAGCTAAGTATGAACCATAATGAAACAAAATTAAATAGGTGTGTAAAAAGTTGAAACAAAGAAAAAAAAATTTTTTTTTCTATTTAAACCAAGTCATTGTCAAGCAATAAAACAAAATCATGAATCTCACTAACTGTAATGCATTTCATGGGTCTAGAGCTCACATTTGTGAGATGTGCAGAAAATCATGTCTAATAATAATCAAATATACAAATTATTTTTAAGTAAAATCAAGTGAATTTGAAGTTCTTTTAATAAAACATATACATTTTTATTGAATAAAATAGGATAAGGGGTACTAGACATTTACATATAATTGGAAGACTCTTATATCTGCCAAGACCCTGTTGTTGGTGATTGTTGTGATCACAAGTTATTGTTGTGTTTTACTTTCTTGAACATATTTAATATATTGCTCAATTTATCTTTCTTTTCTTTTTTTTTTGGGGGGGGGTGGGTGGTGTGGCTTGCGGGATCTTAGTTCCCCAACGAGGGATCGAACCCACGCCCTCAGAAGTGCAAGTGCAGAGTCCTAACCACTGGACTGCCAGGGAATTCCCTATCTTTTTTTAAAAGTTGAGATATAACTGACATATAACATCATGTTTGTCTCAGGTGTACAACATGAGTCAATATTTGTATACATTGCAAAATGTTCTGCACAAGTCTAGTTAAAATCCATCACCACACAGTTACTAAAATTTTTTTCTTGTGATGAGAACTTTTAAGATCTACTCTCTCAGCAACTTTCAAATATGCAACACATTATTAACTATTAACCATGCTGTGCATTACATCCCTATTATTTTATAACTTAAAGTTTAAAGTTTGTACCTTTTGACCCCCCTTCTCCCACTTTGCCCAGCCCCCACTCCCAGCCCTTGGAAGCCACCAATTTGTTCTCTGTAATCTGTGGGTTTGGGGTTTTGTTTTGCTTATTTTACATATAAGTGAGATTATATGGTATTTGTCTTTCTCTGTCTGACTTATTTCACTTAGCAAAATGCCCTCCAGGTCTATCCATGTAGTTGCAAATGGCAGGATTTCCTTCTTTTTTATGGTTGAGTAATATTCCATTGTGTACATACCACATTTTCTTTATCCATTCATCCATCAATTGACACTTAGGTTACTTCCATGTCTTGGCTATCGTAAATAATGCTGCAAGAAAAAATTTCAAACAATAACTAGTTATATTTTCAAATAATATGTTTAACATGTTTTCTTTCAACCTCAGACATGTTTGTGGGCAAAGTACTTCTATATTTAAAGCTAGAGATATGACCATTTATCTGAAAAAAGAACAATAAAAAGTTATTTTCTCACATTTCCAACTTCTTTGACACCTGGACTCTAGTACTGGACACATAAAAATTGCTACGTGGGGAGCTTTCTACCATTGACTTCATTCTTTTCCTGTATGACCTCAACCCCAGAACATGATTTTGGCAGGAAGAAAACCAAAACGTTATTTACACTCAGGTCAAATATGATCTTAAATCCCCAGAAGCCCATTTTTCTTCATTGGAAGTCTGTGCCTTTGTCTAGTCTGAAATGTTTGAAAATAGTCATGCATAATGTGAACAGATTATCCTTTTTCACACCCACCTTCCCTCAAGAGTGTTACACTTTGAGATATTTTTACTTTAACTTTTTTCCTTTTAACAGGAACACTGAAATATGCTATTTTTTCTCTGTTTAAGTGTTTATACACGGACATTAGGTTGATTTTTTTCCAGTTTGAAGATAGGTTTATTTTTTAATGCTTTTATAATACCTGCTTATTAATATATATGTGTGTGTATATATATATATATATATATATAGCCAAAAAACTCTCAATGAAAATATCACCTGAAATCTCATTTTCCTGAGAAACCATCATTAACATCAGCCACCCGAGAAGAGTAGGATGCAAGAAATATCGATGAACAAACAAGTTGTAAACAAGTTGGTAAAGCTGAGTTTATGTTGTGTGTAAGTAATTTAAATGATGACTGCTTTGGGAGAGGGCTAGAAATAAGGTAAAATGAATATTCTAGAGAATAAAGTTGGGAAAGTGGGAGGAATCAGGGCTAAAGTGTTATAAAATCCTTGATCTGGGAAAGGATAGAGATACTAACTTTATACCTTGTTGAATATGCATATTAAAAATTGAAGGTTAACCACTGAAAGAAATAGACTAGGTCGCAAATCACTAGAGAGAAAAAGAGAGCTGTAATTCAGTAGAAAACAGGAAAGAAAAACCAAAGCAATGAAGGAAAGGCATGGTAAATAGAAAGCAAAAATAAAACGGCAGGAATGTGTCAAAGTGTGTCACTAATCACAATAAATGCAAATGGATTAAATCACCTTTCCTAAGGAATAATAACGTTCTATTTTTTTTTTATAAATATGTCAGAAGCACCTTATAACTTACACTGCTAAAGGTAGATAATCAAGTGTTCTCCCTAACCCCAAATCAAAAGAGCTGGTGCCTTTCTGGAGAAAGGAAGGAAGAAAGAAGATAAATTGGTGATATTGTCAAATTATTTCATGAACTAATACTATCTCTTATAAAAAATCTTTTCTTCATGGGGCTTGCCTGGTGGTGCAGTGGTTGAGAGTCCACCTGCCGATGCAGGGGACACGGGTTTGTGCCCCGGTCTGGGAAGATCTCACATGTGGCGGAGCGGCTGGGCCCGTGAGCCATGGCCGCTGAGCCTGCGCGTCCGCAGCCTGTGCTCCGCAACGGGAGAGGCCACAGCGGTGAGAGGCCCACGTACCGCAAAAAAAAAAAAAAAAAAAATTTCTTCAAATAATTTTTTCAAGTCTAGAAATTAAGGTTTGGTGAATCAAACTACCCCTCAGTGGTGGAAATGTAAATCAACATAACTTTTTGGACCATTATTTGGTAATGTGCATTAAAAGTC